CCAACTCAAAAAAAAAAAAAAAATTTTTTTTGTTTTTTGAGTTGGAGTCTCACTCAATCGCTCAGGCTGGAGTACAGTGGCATGCTCATGGCCACCCTAGTGTCAACTTGCTGGGCTCAGGCGATCCTTATGCCTCAGCCTTCCAAGTAGCCAGAACTACAGACCCACACTACCATGCCCAGATAATTTTTTGTTTTATTTTCTTTTATTGTAGAGATGAGATCTCGCCAAGTTGCCCAGGCTGTTCTTGAACCCGTGGGCTCAGGCAGTCCCTCACCTCAGCCTCCCAAAGTGCTGGGATGACAGGCTTGAGCCACCTCATCTGACTCACTTTTAAATTTAAGCTCTATTTTTCATAGTTTTCTCACTTATGGAAAGGCAGTTGTCAAAAAATGGGCTACTCAGAAGCCATTACTCTGTAGGACTAGGAAAAGAAAGTATATTCATTTCCATTCAGTGAACACAAGTGAGTGCCTACCCATGGGAACACTGTTCTGGGCCAATCATGTCTTGAACATTACCTTAGAAACATACATTTAACTATGTATTTTGTGCTCAATTAGTAGTCTATCTATTATTATAAGAGGTTTATCTACCCTCTTATGGTGGCAGGAAGTAAAAAGAAAACATGGTTAGTGAATCCTTTTGATGCTGCTGACATCGTGATTATTCACATTTTGCTAATAATGGAGAATGAGGTAAAATTAATTTTTCTTTCCATATCTTAGGGCTCTTTTGAGAGGAAGAAGTCTTATGATTGGTCCCAGTTCAATACTCTGTATCTCCGTGTCCGTGGGGATGGCCGGCCTTGGATGGTGAATATCAGGGAGGACACGGATCTAATCCAGAGAAAGAATCAGATGTACAGTTACTTCATGTTCACCCGTGGGGGGCCCTACTGGCAGGAGGTCAAGGTAACAGCATAAGTTTTTATTGTTTATGAAAATAAGGTCTTTTAGGTTATGGTTACAATGTTGTTTCCCTTTTCTTACTAATCCTTCTTAAAAGGTGGGTGTGGGGTGGATAGAAGGAAGTGAACTTAGGGGAAAGATTTACATAAATAACTTTTTCTTTCATTCATTTAAATGTTAACTTACAACCCAGTAAATATTTTTGATAAATATATGGCCAGGTCCATGTTAAGTCACAGGTACATCTCTGCCCTGTGCCCACATAAGTTTCTGCCATATCATCTCTTCCAGGCAGCTCTACTAGGCTAGTCTTCCTATGTTAGTAGAAAGGGTACCTTGAGAGCAATAAATACTTAGTACTTTATATCATCCAACTTTTTATGTATTTCTTGGTAATATAAAGCAGTTTTATTTTGTAAATAAGATGAAGCTTTAAGAAGGTAAGCAGGCCGGGCTCAGTGGCTCAGCCTGTAATCCCAGCACTTTGGGTGGCTGATGTGAGTGGATTGGCTGAGCCTGCGGGTGGCTTGAGCCTGCAGGTTCAAGACCTACCTGGGCAACTTGGCAAGACCTCGTCTCTACAATAAATAAAAAGTTAGCTGGGCATGGTAGCACGCGCCTATAGTTCGGCTACTTGAAAGACTGAGGTGGAAGGATCACTGGAGCCCAGCAGGTCGATGCTGGGCTGGCAGTGAGCATGCCACTGTACTCCAGCCTGGGCGATGGAGTGAGACTCCAACTCAAAAAAAAAAAAAAAGAGGGTAAGTAACGTTAACCTGAAGAACAATCATAGGAAATTCAGGGTTGAAGGCAAAATCAAATGCCCTTTCCTTCCATCTGCTTACTGAAGGTTTTTAATCGATAAACTCAGAAGAAAGCCCCATTTTGCTCCTGTCACATACCTCAGGGTCATCCTGGGTTCTGTCTTCTTCATCCAGTCTCATAGCCAGTTCTGTCATCTCTACTTCCAAAATGTACTCAGAATCTGACCATTGGTAGCCATTTCTTTTATTCTCACCCTAGTCCAGGTATTTGGATTACTGCAACGGCTTCATTATTGACTTCTCTATTTTCTTGCCTCCCTGAACTCTAGCCTTCACACAGCTGCCAGAGTGATCTTTCTGAAACATATTTCAGATGACATCACTCATATGCTTAGGACCCTCCAGTGATTTCCCATTACAATTAGAATGAAGTCCAAATCCTGAGCATAGCCCATGAGCCGTCTTCAGTCTTTCCTTCTACTGCCCTCCTCCACACCGGCCCAGTTTCTGTCTTTCAAACTTGAAACTTCATTTCCATCTCAGAGCCTTGTACTAGTGTGGTTCTCCTGGAATGCTCTTCCCCCATCTTCACCTGCTTCTTATTTACTATCATTCACTTCTCAGCTCCAAGGTCGCCTTAGAGGACTCTTTCCTGATTGTTCTAACTAAAGTTGGTCCTTCTAACCCAGTCATTTTCAGCATCACCATCCTGTTTAACTTTCTTCACAGAACTTATCACTAACTAAAATTATTCTGTTCATTCGTTTCTTTGTCGTCACTCTTTTTTTTTTGAGTTGGAGTCTCACTCTGTTGCCCAGACTGGAGTGCATGGCCGCTCCCGGCCATCGTAGCCTCGACCTGCTGGGCTCCGGCGATCCTTCTGCCTCAGCCTTCCAAATAGCCGGAATTACAGGCGCGCACTACCACACCTGGCTAATTTTTAAATTTATTGTAGAGATGAGGTCTCG